TTTTAAAAGGGTGGTGGTAGGGATTAAGCCTTCTTAAAGATCACTGTGTGAGACTCGGATACTAGGTAGAAATGGAATGCCCTACCGAAGACGAGTGACCTAAAAAACAAGACGGAGAAGAAATATTCCCAGAAGACTAAATATGAAGTAGCATATCACATCTATGATTGTTCCTCAAAGTAAAAGAGCCCAGGGTAAATATCTATAAGGGTAAGTAAAAAATACAGCAACAAAATCACAGAAACCCTTATTTAAAATATCTCAATGTGAAGCTACTGTTGCTCAACATGTCCTCTCTGTCTGGGTGCACATGCTTCTTAGAGCAGTGTTTCCATCTCTCTAACCCTTCCCCCCAAAGAACCCCATGCTCTCTGATTTCCACCGCATCTAATGGCAGGCTGGGCATCCTCAAGGGTCTCACACACCCTTCTTTTACAATGTCCTTTGTGTTGTAGGAACAAAAAGAAGTCTGAGGGGCAAGGTCATATATGAACGGAGACCCTAGTAGCAATAGTACTACTTTTTTATTTACCCTCTTGTACTGATTCTGAGCAGAATCACAGACCAAATGATCATGTCCAAGAACAAAATTAAGTTATAGAATTGAGGAGGTCTGAGGGAAGGGAAGGTGAATAAAGCTCTTAGAAGAGATCCGGGGAGCCTGAAAACAATGACATGCTGTCCAATTTGGCCCGAGCAGGAGAAGGTTAAGAATCTGAATGGCTCCCTCAATCTAACTCCCCCAGACTGTGTTCATGAATAAAATAATTGATTCAAAATCACAGTGCTCTTCTCAGCAAAGGCTACCTGGCTTCTACTGCTGCTGAATGCTTGTCTACCTTAAATTTGTTGTATGAGAGGCAAGACAACTACTTTTGGCTCCCTCAATTATGGAAGGGGTGATGCTTATCTTTGGATAAAAAACACAGAGTGTACTTTTCTTTCCTCAACCCATCAAGCCAACCTATGATACGTGGTGCTTAAAAATACAAACAAAATCCACTGCCATCAAGTCCATGATATACCATCACCTAAGCCCACACATCACAGCTTCTGATCAAGACTCTCACTTCACCAGAAAAAAAGCAAAGTAATGTCCAGGTGATCCACCAGTTCAACCATATACCCTAAACACCCAGAACCAGCTGGCTTTAGATACTAGAAAGAGCTGTATCATCACCTGCTGGGAGGCTGGGGTCTTTGCTTTCAAATTGTAGCATATTTAATACACTGGTCTATATATAAATTCAAAACAAGGGGTAAAAGTAGAGGTGGCGCCTTTCACCATTATCTTTTAAAACTTCTTCTTCCCATTCCTGATACTGGGAGGATGTTTCCAGAAGATGTGACAACAGTTGCCAAAAGGGGAAGCTGAAAATGTCACCATGACATTTTGGTCTCCTCACCTTACAAGGTTAAAGACAGATAGGGTGGGCTGGGTCCCTGGTTGTCAGAAGACAAGACAGCACGACTCATACACCTTGAGGGCTGGGAAGACCTGAGTGAAACCCAGGGCTCCGAAGCCAACCTGTACATTTCTCTACATCTGTATCCATTGTTACCTCTTGCCACACAGAGAAACGAGTTGCCACACCTGTTCAAAGGCAATGCTGCATCTTCATAGCTGATCCTTTCTTGTCTTCCCTGGATCCCATCAGTTAAATTCTATAATGTAGACTAGACATGAACGTTTTCCCTTCAGAGTTTTCCCAATTCTTTCTACCCTAACTTGTCTTCAAATCATCACCCTCTAGTCTTCCCTCCACAGCTAAGTTTCTTAAAAGAGCCATAAATACTCACAGTCTTCCTCCTTTCTCCTTCACAGACTATACATCCGGATTTTGTTACCGTTGTACCCACTCATCCACCTTTACCAAGGGCATTAATGAACCACTTGCTGCTAAATGACATATGGAAACTTTTTTAGGCCTAAAATCCCTAAACCTTGACTCCAAGGGATCAGCCTAACTGGTTCTCTTGCCTCAATGCCCTTCCTTCTCAGAATTTCTTTTAGCTCTTCTTCCCAAACCTCCCGCTTTCACGTTCTTCTTCTCCAGGCGACTGTCTTAAGTTTCTTCCCAGCCCTCTTATTTCACTCCCTTGCCCTCTGCATGTTCGTCCATATTGCTCGCTTACTTCCAAGTCTCTAGCTCCATTCTACAAGACCTTTCTCTCTCAAACCGAAAATGTCCACAACTATTCCTGATCACCTTCCACTCCATCAAATCAAGAGCAGTAAGTATCAAACATTAGTGCACCTACCATTCAACTCTGGAGATCACTAAAACTGCCCCACCACCAGGAAATGCCATCTTTTAGGATATTCCAGGACCGTGATGGAATCTTCTTCTCTAATAATCACACCAGGTAACTCTGATGCAGGTGGCCAAGCTTTACAAAACAACAATCGGTGTTTTGTTTTTGTTTTGTTGGGTTGTTTATGTTTTCCTTCTTGGTACATGCACACATAATGATTCTTGCATTATATACTCGGGGGTGGGGAGAGGAGAAGCAACTGTCCACAGCTGTCCACAAACTGGAGAGGAGCCATCTCAATACATCGATAGCCTACTGTTGGTGGTGGTGGTGGTAAGTGCCAGTAAGTAGGTTCCAACCCATAACTTGGTTCCAACCCATAGTGACCCTGTGCGCAGTAGAAGACACTGCCTATTCCTGCACCATCCTCACAATTATTATGTGTGAGCCCACTGTTGAAGCCACTGTGTCGGTCCACCTTGTCCAGAGCCTTCCTCTTGTGCAGTACTCCGGTGGCGCCCTTAAACCAGGAACAGAAATGGATGGTGAACAGTGAGCTATTCAGAAAGTTAAGACAAGAGTTTCCAACCAAGCTGAGATTTAAATAGATTAGACAGGTTTGAAGTTGTTCTCTCTGACAAGTATTTTGGAGGTATGACTCTTTTGTGCTGTTAAGAATAAAGACCCTTAAGTTTTTACAAACAACTGGGCTAGAGGCATGGTTGCCAATCTCTGCAAAAGCTCCTAATGACATTCTTTGAAGAGAAACTCTTTCTACCTCCTCCAAGGGTTAAGGCAGGGCCCCAATTTCTCCTAGAAACAATTCAGTAGAGACTCAGGTGCACGTTGGTACCTCCCACTCTTGTTCTTTCTCAAAATAATTTCCACATGTTTCTTTCTTTTAGATCCTACTGTTTTTATTATAGGCAAAAGGGATGAATAAGAAAAACTATAGGGGGTTCATTTTTATATAAAGGGAACAAAAGAATCATCATAAAAAGTTTTTTTGCCAATTGATCAAGACTATTTGGATTACAAAAATGCTCATGACTGTAAATTAATTAAAAACAAATACAAATATCAAATAGCAATGATATAGAAGTAAAGTGCTTTAAAGGCCATTTTTCAACAGTAATAACAAGATAGAGAGGAGAGCATATAATAATTAAGATAGCATATTGTTTTTGACATCTTACTGTGAAAAATCAATCATTTAACATTTTTTAAAAAACAAGCTGTTGTTAGGTGCGGTCAAGCTGGTTCTGGCTCAGAGCCACCCTACGCAAAACAGAAGGCAAGGCTGCCCGGTCCTGTGCCATCCTCACGATTATTGCCAGTTTAAGCCCATGTTTTAGCCACTGCATCAATCCATCTCCTTGAGGGTTTTCCTCGTTTTTTATTGCTGCCCTTCTACTTTATTAGACATATTATCCTTTGCCAGGGACTGCGTTCTCCTGATAAGATGACCAAATTAAATGAGGCAAACTCTCACCAGGCTTCTTCTAAGGAGCATTCTGGCTGTACTTTTCTGAAGATAGAAGTGTTTGTCATTCTAGCTGTCCCCGGTACTCTCAATATTCTTTACCAACGCCCTAATGCAAATGCACCAATTCTTCTATGGTCTTCCGTATTCATTATACAACTTTCACATGCATGTGAGGCACTTGAAAAACCATGGCTTGGTCAGGTGCAGCTTAGTCTTCCAAGTGGCATCCTGGATCTTCCATCTTGACAACTTAAATCTTTTCTCTCTTCATCATGACGCTGCCTATTGGTCCAGTTGAGAGGATTTGTGTTTTCTCTACATAGAATTGCAATCCAGACTGA